ATAGTTTAGATCACCTCATCAACAGGATTAGTATATTTCATTTAGTATAGTTTAGATCACCTCATCAACAGGATTAGTATATTTCATTTAGTATAGTTTAGATCACCTCATCAACAGGATTAGTATATTTCATTTAGTATAGTTTAGATCACCTCATCAACAGGATTAGTATATTTCATTTAGTATAGTTTAGATCACCTCATCAACAGGATTAGTATATTTCATTTAGTATAGTTTAGATCACCTCATCAACAGGATTAGTATATTTCATTTAGTATAGTTTAGATCACCTCATCAACAGGATTAGTATATTTCATTTAGTATAGTTTAGATCACCTCATCAACAGGATTAGTATATTTCATTTAGTATAGTTTAGATCACCTCATCAACAGGATTAGTATATTTCATTTAGTATAGTTTAGATCACCTCATCAACATGATTAGTATAATTCATTTAGTATAGTTTAGATCACCTCATCAACAGGATTAGTATATTTCATTTAGTATAGTTTAGATCACCTCATCAACAGGATTAGTATATTTCATTTAGTATAGTTTAGATCACCTCATCAACAGGATTAGTATATTTCATTTAGTATAGTTTAGATCACCTCATCAACAGGATTGGTATATTTCATTTAGTATAGTTTAGATCACCTCATCAACAGGATTAGTATATTTCATTTAGTATAGTTTAGATCACCTCATCAACAGGATTAGTATATTTCATTTAGTATAGTTTAGATCACCTCATCAACAGGATTAGTATATTTCATTTAGTATAGTTTAGATCACCTCATCAACAGGATTAGTATATTTCATTTAGTATAGTTTAGATCACCTCATCAACAGGATTAGTATATTTCATTTAGTATAGTTTAGATCACCTCATCAACAGGATTAGTATATTTCATTTAGTATAGTTTAGATAACCTCATCAACAGAATGAGTATATTTCATTTAGTATAGTTTAGATCACCTCATCAACAGGATTAGTATATTTCATTTAGTATAGTTTAGATCACCTCATCAACAGGATTAGTATATTTCATTTAGTATAGTTTAGATCACCTCATCAACAATTGTGGTATAATAAAGTTGAACATGATCAAGTCAAACAGAATCCATTGAAATAAATGTCACTAGAGAGGTAATGGAGCTGTATCGCTGATCACTGATTCAGGCAATATAGTTTACAATGGGATTGGAGGATTTATGCTTCTAGTTGGAAGATGAAAAGCAGGTGTTTTCCTGTCTGTTGTCTTGGTTGTACTGAGCTATGGCATGAATGAATAGCTGGGAAATCTCCCTCATGGTAATATTGATAATGCCAAATCAGTGAGTATGAGGTTAACCAGGTGCATGGAATGAATCTGTCTCTACCACTGACTGGAGAGCACTGTCTAGATTCCATCCACTGGGAGAGTGTGTGATGTGTCCTGGTGTCTTTAATAGCATTAGGAGTGGAGACCATAGCGCTTTAATCTAAAGAGAAGAGACTCCCACTCTTCTCTTTCATGTTCATCCTGTTGGATGGTTCAAGTTGACAGTCTGCTGAAAGACTGCCATCAGTGCAGCCTACTGGTTCCCCTGACAGCGGCGACTCGCGGAGTTTACCGCTCCACCTGTATGTATTACAGTGCAGCCTACTGGTTCCCCTGACAGCGGCGACTCGCGGAGTTTACCGCTACACCTACACTTTAGGATGCCATGATTTATCAAGTATCAAATACATATATACAGTTATTCTGAAAGGTTCAATTAGATTCATCAAATCGATAAAAAAAATTATGGGACCAGATTTAGTTGTCTAGTGATTAGGGTAGAGCAAAATAGAACGGGAAACGAGTAAAATATGTCGTTTTCATTTAATTATAGATATATAAACGTTTGTTTGTGTGAATGAACTTATTAACAACCGTTAACGTTGGAGACACCATGAAGAATGCTATGAATCTTTTGACTGAACATAATAAACTCAGAATATATGAGTGGTGTGTGTGTGTTTGTGTGTGTGTGAGTGTGTGCGTGCGTGTGCGTGTGAGTGTGCGTGTGCGTGTGAGTGTGCGTGTGTGTGGCACATAAGGTTGGGAATATCGATGAGTGCCACCATGCGACATGCATGTGTGGTAAAAGTCCATCTGTTTAATCGGAACAGTATCCAGAGTGAATACATTATTACTACTGTGGAAGAGAAGCTGCTGCTTTTAGCATTAAGGGCAAACAGTTTCCGCCTGAATGTGTTAACCTACTGTTCTCCCGGTGTGAGCGCGCGGGGCGAAGTGGTAACGAGACTTTAACAAGGCTAATAAATCAGTTAACTGAGAACACGCTTTATTGCCCTGACCACGTGCCATTGTTTGCCAGGAGTCACATTTCCACCAGTTTAAATACATTTTCCATGGTAATGCCACATGCATATATATTGTAGACATTCTCATACAACATTGACAGATTAAGGAGAATATCTCAACTTAAAACATACCTCTGAAACGCATAATGCGGAAATAACGATTTAGACAATGTCCTCTGGTTAAATGTCTTGCCTAATAACAACTAATGACAAAATAAGTATATTATTATTATTATTATTATTATTATTATTATTATTATTATTATTATTATCACCAGCTTATTACTTCTACTGTATTTACTATTTATATTTAAATGGCTCTTTATTAGTTTTGAGTGATTCTCACCAACTATATATTTACTTTTAAAATGTATTTTTTCAACATCTCTGTCACCTCCATCAGGAGATATTTCCCGCATGCAATCTGCTCCATCTCTCGCCAGCACATTTCCAGCAGGTTATCACAATCACCGTCCGTCCTCTTTCTGATGTGTTCCGCTGATTACCATCAGTGCCCTCAGATATCCCAGACTGATCGTCGCGCTGCAGTATCCACTCTGAGCCCTCTGGAGCAGATCATATCGCTGACTCCGGCTCAGTCCCCAAGTATTCAATCTACACAACCCTTTCAACCACCACGAAGACGAGTTGGTTGGTTTCAAACCGAGTAACAGCGACCCCACATAGGTGAGTCCACCTGGTGTTCTGAAAGTGGTCGGGTCGGGCGACAGAAGGGTCATCCTTTTCAGGTGGAATTGAATAACAACAACGGATGGCCCTAATGGCGATATCAGTAGGCCAACATATATTTATGGGAGTCCGAGATTGAAAACGTAGTATTGTTTGCATTTGAGTGTTTAGATTTAAACAGCCTAGCGTAGGTTACTTCTTCTAACACTTATTTAGGCCTATTTTTGTAGCTTTACAAAACTATGATTTATCTGTGTACACAAAAAAAGGAGGTTTGTGATATGAGTGACAATTCGGCTTACTCTTTAGTTCTATTATTGACCCTATTGATCAGTAGGCAGGTTTCCATTGACCCAGGTTTATTCGACAGAAGAAATGTCGCAACAAAAAAATGTGTAATGGAAACAGCAGATATAGGACACATTTTCTAAAAATCGACAACATTTGTATCCGTTCGACAGGGGTGGATTTTTATTTTGTCTAACTTTCCTTATTGGGACAAATTATGACGGAAATGATTGCCTAGTCATTTTGAAGGTAAGCGGGGACACGTGATGTCACCGCAAAACTATAAAGCTCCACAATATTTTTTGTTCAACTACAAAAAATAATGTTTATTTGCAGGACAATGATTGACGTCATAATGGACAGCCGTTGTAATCGACACAAGATAGTTAAATGCAAACGCACCCTAGCAGGCAGTTGGCGCATCAATTGTCTTTGCGAACTTTCTAAGTATCGAAAAAATTCACTGGACAAGTTAATGGAAACATAGCTAATGACAGGTACTCAAAGTGCAGTTTGTGTTGATAGTTTACTCTAAAGGGGTGTCCAAGTGCATTAAAAACTTTGTTAAAACTTTGTTTACAGAATTTTGAAGAGATTATAACATGTATATGAATGCATTGTCTTAGTAGCCTAGTGAAACTAATGCCATATAAAATGTCCAACGTCAACTGTTAGACCTCAAGTAGTGATACGGTTTCTCTCGGTTGTCTTCCGGTCTTTGGGTTCCACCTGAATAACTAACAGGCGGAAACACTGAAGTGGGCTGCCTCTTGTCACAACCAACTACCTGTATGTTAGAAACAACTATCTGCTTTAAGTTGGTCTGATAGCAAAACACTAATCCCCCATCACACACACACAAACACACACACACACAGAGAAAGGGAAAGGGGTGGTGCTAAAAACAGAATGAAGGTAAAGCATTTGCAATAAAGCACAAGCAGAGCGGATTTTCAATTAGTGACACAATTTACAAGCTTGCGTTAAGATGACACTATTTTGTCAATACACTTTTCTATAGCCTAACAAAGTTTATGTTATTAATCAATTCCAAATATATATTATAATGCCTTAGGTCGTAGTGACTGTGGCCAACGGACCAATATTTAAAATGACTTTATGATTTTAGGTTTTGTTCTAAACGATCTAAAACATCACAGTTCCATACCTCATTTCATTTGCCACGTGCATCAATTCGAAGATTGTACAGTATAATAAAATATTATAAATAAAAAATAGAAAATACAATTAACTTAATAAAATTGCATACTCACAAATAGCCTATATAAATAATTTCTAAAATGTCTAACTGAGAGAGTAAATGTCCTGATAAGTCCTATAGAACAGTTCCACCATTCCCCTGCTGTATTGTTCTCTGTTCATGACAGTTGAATGTATTCAGGAAGTTCCCTGCTCCTTGTGCTTTATCCCACTATGTTGGACAGCTGTAAAATCGTGTAGACAGGTTGTCATACAACAATCCAAGCTTCAGTGAATGGACTGTAATGCTAAACATTTAACATACAATACTCCCAACATTGGGAGAGCGGCCCAGCCAATGCTCTAGCCACATGATCGGGTGAGGAGGAGCTTGCAGCTCAAGTGGGATGCCAATCAAAGCATCAACTTCAAATTGTATCTGAGAGATCAGGCAGAGACCTGAGGGCAGGCACATCAGTTGGAGCTCAATTGTTGATGTGATCACATCCAACGGTCTTGCAGCGGAAGAGAGAAGCTGAGATTTTTTTTTAAAGAGCAGAAGAATCATTCTGACCTATTGCTGGTGTGCTTCCTGACCACTTTCTCTTTGACTTATTTATTCTTCTGTCTCGTTTTCCGCGGTGTTTTGGCAGACGACTCGGCGGAGAGGATGTCTTTCCCCCAGTTGGGCTACCCTCAGTACTTAAGTGCCTCCCAAGTGGTGTACGGCGGGGATCGGCCGGGGGTCCTGACTCCGTCGTCCCGGGGAGGGAGCTCTGAGATCGCGGGAAACCAGTCGGCTGCTGCCGCTGCAGTCACCTCGGTGTTGGGCATGTACGCAAACCCCTACACTGCACACAACTACAGCGCATTCCTGCCGTACAGCAGTGCAGACCTGGCTCTTTTCTCTCAAATGGTAAGGGCTATTTCTATGCTTCTGATGTTGTATTGTAGTGGTATGTATGGTTGCTTTAAGTCAAGTGTTTCAATTATTTGGCCTGGAAAAGGCACGTGAAAAGACGGCTGGGAACCATGCAATCTGACATTTCTTTGTAAGTTGCACGTCCTCGCGCTCTCCGAAAGTTTGTTGATAAGGAATAACAATGCGTCTATAACTTTTATTTACACCTCTTAATTATTGGAGTAAGAATAATTATCCGTAACCTACTTTGGAAGTGTATTTGTCATTTTAAGTGGGAGTTTGTAGATGTAGATGAGGCCGAAAACGGACTGTGGTCTGATATTTCGTTTGAGGGAGTTGTTATTTAGTATAAAATAGTGTTTAGTCTAGATAATGGTGCATGTGACCCAAATTATATAGTTTGGTTGACTTTAATTATTATATGATTGGTCGTCGGCTTCTGAAATATTACTAAAGACAGCTATTCCTGTTGGTGAATCGAAACAACAAAGGTATTTGCATGAAGCTGGCACGTACACCAATCATTTAACTGCTAGGATAAAATAGTAGCTATATAAACAAAACCATTACGTAAAACAAATTCCAGGCCCACAATGACCTAGACGTTGGATTATAATTTTGTCTCGCAACATTGTTCTACTGTTTTGTATTCATTTTGAGGAAAAATATTTGAGGATAATACATACGTATTTGTGAAATATTTGCTTTTGAAGTTTTTAAACTGACATTGAAAAATAACAATTTACAGACACTTTACAAAATAATGTAGTTCATGACTATAGCACAAGAATGCAGCTTGAATAGGCCTTCTCTGACAGACATTAAAGTTGCCCATTTTGCATAAAATAAATAATTTAGTTCCATGATGACATTGACATTTTATACTGTCCTACAAAATATACTTCATTTAAGAATTCCAATACTTACTTCCATCTGCATTTGATACAAAAATAGCAGTACTTATATAACAATAGAAAACAGTTATAGTCTGGACATACAGGCCGCAGTGGAAACTCAAATCATTTCGGTCAAATGCATTAAAAGTAGTTCTACTCAACTCAGTAATTAAAACGCGAAAACATAGAATGTATATAAGTGTGTATAGTCATACTTTTAATAATATAGGCTTAAATATAATATATAGGTTGTGTGTATTATCGTTTTCTAGACTTTTGTACGTTATCGAAGGACATTGTCTACAGTTATCCCAAACTTTCATTAGCATAGAAGAGCGGCATAAATTAGTTACAGGGATTTCCAAGCGAGTCGGCCCATTTGTAAATGCTATTCATGTCGAAATGTATGCGTGGTATTAGGCATTTATAGAAATGCACGTGTTTCTAAGCTGCATATTAACCAATAGTGTGGCGTTGTTCACCCGTCCAGGGCTCCCAGTACGAGCTGAAGGACAGTCCTGGCGTCCACCCCGGCAGCTTCGCGGCCCACACCTCGCCAGCCTTCTACCCATACGGCCAGTTCCAGTACGGGGACCCGGCCAGGCCCAAGAACGCCACCCGGGAGAGTACCAGCACGCTGAAGGCCTGGCTCAATGAGCACAGGAAGAACCCCTACCCCACCAAGGGAGAGAAGATCATGTTGGCCATCATTACTAAGATGACCCTGACGCAGGTGTCCACCTGGTTCGCCAACGCCAGGAGGAGGCTGAAGAAGGAGAACAAGGTGACGTGGGGGGCCAGGAGTAAAGAGGACGAGGATGGAAACATCTTCGGCTCCGACAACGAGGGAGACACGGAGAAGAACGATGACGAGGAGGAGATAGATCTAGAGAGCATCGATATAGACAAGATAGACGACAACGATGGAGATCAGAGCAACGACGATGACGATGATAAACCGGAGGGCAGAGAGCGAGACCGGGAATTTGACAGTCTGGAGAAACGGCGGCCCTTCGCTCTGCAGCACCAGGCCTTCGACAAATCTAAGAACTCAATTTCCTCCGGGAAGGAACTTTCTGATAGCAACAACAACACCAGAGTTCTGTCCCGGGACAGACAGGGAAGTTTTCAGCTCCCAGTGAACAATAAGCCTAAAATCTGGTCGTTAGCTGAGACGGCTACCAGTCCTGATAGTTCTGTGAAGTCCACCTCTCCCTCCGGCCCTGCCGGTCACACACCGCCTCAGATGCAGCACCCGGCCTTCCTGCCCTCCCACGGACTATACACCTGTCAGATAGGCAAGTTCCATAACTGGACCAACGGAGCATTCCTGGGGCAGAACTCTCTGCTCAATGTCCGGTCGTTTCTAGGAGTTAATCAGCACCATCATCATAACCACCACTTACAGACCCAGCAGCTGCAGCAGACCTCGGTGTTGGTGTCGGCTGGAGCAGCGCTCAACGACAAGGCCTCGCCACAACTCAGTCCCAAGCATATAGGTATGCACCAGTCAGAACCGTATGCACACTACTTTACCATTATATTTGGTAAGCAAAAATCAACGCAATTATAGTTCATGAAAAAAACATAGCCTTTCAATTGTATTTTGTCCAAATGAAAGTGTTTTTAAAAACTACTAACATTTCTACTCAATCACTTATACACACGCACCAATAGGTCACACACACACACACAAACTAAATTTAACTAAAACTAGAATTTGTTATAATAATTATCATAATAATAACAATGACATAGAAACATTATGTTATTACTCAAGTATTTCATTAAAATATATATTTTGTTTATTTTGTAATGAGTTTTATCCTTTTATTTCAGACCGTGATAACGTTGTAAGAAGTGACTCTCCTCCAACACAACCTCTGAAGTCTTCATTTAGACCCCTTCATGATGGGTAAGACGCGTTTTATTTATTGGGCAAATGCAGTTGGGGTAAAAGAATAGCAGTAAGATTGATATTATAATATTGTAATAGCAAATGGTTTCCTCCAAAATGGTGTCATTGCGTGGTCTGTGGTGGTTAGACTCTCAGAGGGTCCAGGGACTGTTTTCTTGGTGGACAGATGTGAGAGATTGGTCTGGCTTCTAAAAAAAAAATAGTTGTTCTTCTCCTGGTGACACGGGGTTTCGGCTCCAGCCCCCCTCCCCTAATTCCCTCCCTCTGGAGGCTGACTACTTATCAAGTCCCCCGTAAAACGGGACCTGTCTGGGGCTCGGCTTCCCTAAAGACCCCGGGGAGCAACCCGGCCCTGGGGAGCGTTCTAGCAGAAAACTTCTCCCAGTCTGAAGTGCTCACATCTACACACAACGTCTTTCTTTCTTCCCGCTATTAGCGCCAGGTCACTGCCGGCGGTGCTATCCTAATATGACGGCCTGTTTGTCATTTATTATATACACGGAATCATTAGTGTCATAAAATATACGCTTTAAATACCAGTCCCTGATATAGGCTAAAATGCGTCGACAGAATTCACATGAAAACTTGAAGAGATATAGCATCCTAGATGACATGTTGTGTGTGTTGACCCAGTGGATAGGCTACTTGAAAATAATATTATATTCTATAGAAACACGCTTCTATCATTCTATTCTGGTGCTGATCCTCCTCTCTGTTCTTTCAGCCCCAGGACTCAGCAAGAAGCCACGCAGCGGGTTCTGACCGCCCTCTCCTCGGCTTGATCAAGACATTCTGCCCTGGAAGAAAGAGACTTGACGCACTCAGAAAAGGACAATGAGAAATAACTTCATTCACCGTAGTATTCAGAGCAAATGGCTAATTTGATATAAACTCCTGTGGCAGGATTTCCTCTCTTGTTGTAAATAACGGCGCCTGTTATTCCCTGCTCTTTACCCTGGGACGTTTGGTAGGCTTTTCTTGTGTTGGGGTCTTCTGTTCTCTTCATACAGTGATTTACATCTGTAAATAGCGCGTTGACGACATTTGTCCAGATCGTATATTTTGTCTAATAAACTAAATGAAATTATAGAGAAAATCAAAGAATATACATATTTTGTTTTTGTGTTTTCCTGATCAAATATTTAATAGCACGTTTTGAGAGAAAATAATAAGGGGACGGTCTCTGTTGCACAATATTATTAAACAATACCAGAAGATTTGATTTGGTTCAACCCAGACGATTATCATGATCATTTTTATAATAATATTGTTATAATAATAATAATTATTGTTGTTATTATTATAATGATAATTATTATTGTTATTATTATTATAATAATTATTATTATTACTACACACATCAGTCAGGGTAAATTTCTTATCATAACTAATGCTGTCAAAGATGTTCCATTCCAATGTAATTATTACGAGCTGAGAGGAAACCGCCCTGTACCTCGTCCCCTGTTAGAGAAAGGGCAGAGCGGGTAAAGCAGGGGATAATACCGACCCTCCTCTCATCTTAATGTTATTCCACTTTCTAAATGGGGAGGGAGCGGCGACGCATTGAGGTGCTAATAACCGGCCAGATGGTTGCTGGTGCCGGGAAATGGACAGAAGCAGCTGGGAGCATCATTAAGTAATAATGTGGGAACGCCCTGCCCAAACAAAATCAAATGGTTAAAATCTAATCTGTCAGAAAGAGAAGTCGATTCCGTAATATATTATTAATAGTGAGAGGTTAGCGGTCAGGTGACGTTGTTAGCAGGGTTACTAACTGTGTCGGGGTCCGGCCAGCTACATGTGACCGGTAAGGTTATAGGGATGACTATTGGGACGGAAGTAACCCATCAGAGACCAAGCTAATTGTATTTAATCAGTTTGATAATAGGTTCATGATGAGGAACAATTGCAAGTATTATTGTGATGCCAGTTGAAGTGTAACATTGTTTTTGTTATTGGAATTAACGGTGGTAATGTGGATTCACAATGATCAGGCTTCAATACAGAATAAGAAAGATATCCTAGGCCTACATTAAAGACGATAATATTGACAGGTTTCATTCCATTTAAAACAACTATAAAACCCATCAAATGTAAACAAATATTAGCCTTCTTAAACTGGTTTTGTAAGAATTACATTTCATGTGAAATATTTAGTGAGTATAGCGCAATGTCAACATGCTTATTCAAAATGTTTAAATAGAACATTTTTGTTGTAGTATTTACAATAGACTAATATATTTTGAACACGCTATTTGGAGGTATGGCAGGCTGAACGTGTAGGCTGGCGGGGTGCCTCTCTATTGGTTGTGTCACAGCGACCTCTATAGGCTTCAGTACATTTACAGAGACATAATATATACCTAGTCAATGGAGCTTCACTTTAACTCTAGAAACACTTGACAACTTTTTACAACTTGGAATAAGCAACCAAAGTTAGCATAGAATATGAGTCAAAAGATGATATGTTATCACATTGTTATCTCACAGTCAGGTAGAACACACACACAATATGCAGTAATTTGTGTGCGTGTGTTTGTGTGCGTGCGTGCGTGTGTGCGTGTGGTCAGATAAAGTTTAGAATATAATTGCGCTAAGAAGATTGAAAACATATGTTCTATATAAACCATATTTAGAAAAACAGGCTTCCCCTGTCCCATGGCTTGTGAGGGCCAAATCATTTACATTCAATGTTAACAAAGGTTATTTAAAATACTAGTTTTCTAATCATTTTACAAAGTCTAAAGATTGGTGTTGTCCTATATTAGTAAACGTGAGAGATTATTTCGCAATAAAAACATATTTGAGTATTTTTGCCAGAGAGCAAGGCAGAGTAATGGAGGTCTAACATAATTAAATTCATCAAATAAAAGATCTAGGCCACCTCACTGTGCACTCCAGCAGTCCCCACCTTGTAATGGAATAATACTATGTCTGTGTTAATTCCGGGGTCAAAGTGGCTTTATTTTTCAGTAAACGTTGACTTCTCTCAAGGAGAGGAACATTTATGCGCATAAATTTGTCACATTTTGATGGCAGTTTGCTAAACAGTTACGCCGTTAAAGGCCTGTTAGAAAATTAACCAGGTCAGAGGGTGGTAAAGGCAGGACAGGGTCAGATGTGTTTGTTGTGCCTTCTGTCAAAAACACGATGAATTATATTATCAACAACTTTATTTAGCTATACACAGAGCTCAGCCATCTCTCAGATCTCCATCGGTAGGTTAATTCATGTATGGATTTGGAGATGCTGATGACGGCTGTAAGATCACGCGCTATGAAGTTTCAATCGCCCTTGGGATAAACGGGAAATCAACCCAGTCATGGCACAACATGAAACGCAGAAATATAAAGTACTTATAATATAATTAAACAAATAATGGCTGAATAAACAACATGCCTCAGTGTTTAAATGCGCTGATATATTCAGAGGGACAAAAGACAGCCCTTCCAGGAAGTCAAGGCAGGTGCGCTGAATGTCATATTTTACTCACATCTTCTCACGAGCCTTTTGTGGTTGAAATGAAATAACCCCCCGGTGTCTGGTTTCTGGGTTTTGTAGCGAAGCACGGTGAGGTTAGCACCGCCGCTAGCTACAGCCTGCCATTATATTATGTTTCCCTAATATCTACAACAACACAAATCATTTAGCGGTGGACGTACAGTTGATTGTTTAATCAGTAATAAAGCGGTTAGGCGCCTATAATTAGGCTGTCACTGTGAGCTGGTCCTCCCAGCGCCCCGGGCCATAGGGCCGGGAACACCGCGGAGAGGGACGGCATTAACACTCCAAACAAATCAATTAAAGACAGTATAGAGATATACTGCAGAGGTGGTTCGTTGTTAATGCTAAGGTAAGTTATCTAATATTCACCGCCTTTTATTTAATGACCAACAAGTGTAAACAACAACACAAACACAACAGCCCCTGGTATAATACAACAATTATTATTAGTTTAATGACATCCATTATTATAATAACGAGCAGGATGGGCAATTACCTTTTCCAATTAATTAAAGTCAAATATAATTTAATACATCATTGATTTAATGGTTGCTCATGTGATAAAACACAGAAAACTAGAAAAAATGACATATTGTTTTGAGATTTTAAATTAATTGGACTTTTAATAATTCCTATTAACAAAATAAAAGTTCCTTACATTTTAATAAATGCATAAACATTAGATGCCAATGCAAATTGGCACTAAACTGCTGCTATTTTGAGGAAGAACATTGGACATATGGGAAAGCAGAAAGTGTACAACATGCTAACACAATATGTTGTTGACCCTCATATTATTCTCCATTTAGTCCTTGGGCCGTGGTCCCACCACCATACAATGCCTTTTGTTGCTGAACACCTTCAGTTTCCCTATGCTGCCTGCAACCTGACACAATGCAGTGATCCATTTACTTTGCTGTTGACTTGTGCCCTGTGTGTGAGTATGCTTGAGCAGAGAGGTGCCACCGTGGAGGGAAAGTTGATCACTGTTTTGTCTTTTGGCAGGAGCAGCCTATTCACCCAGCCCTCTGCTTTACAACACAATTGTCTCTGCCTCTTTCATCCAGAGATGTCTGTTGTCTTTCTGAAGATGCCTTTAATCCAATCATCTCCATGGTGAGAGAGAGAGCTGGCTGAATACCTCCTGTAGTTTGGCCCAACTGGGAGCTACAAGTCCTGGAGTCCAGTAGTCAGATCACCACAATGTCCCAACACCGTGTTCAGCTGACTACTCTGCTGCTCCTTGGTTCAGGAACACAATGGGTTGAATGGGACGGATGGCTTGGTCACAGCCCTTTCTTTGCAAGAGAGATCGGGTCAGTATCACACATGCCACAGGAAGAGGTTGGTTGGGGCTGGATGAGACTGGGTTGGTAGGGTCTGGATAGCTGGCTTGGAGGGGCTACATTGTTTGGTTGGTTGGAGCGGGCAGCATGGTTCTTGTGGAGGGGGAGGGACTGGCTAGCTGTGTTGAAGAGTGCTGAGAACGGGTTGGAGCCTGAGACTCGCATGGCTCTGTGTTTTGATGAGGAGAGATACAGCTTAATAGGAGGAAAGATTCCTGTGTGTCTGAGAGCAGACCAGAGATCCTCAGAGGCAGCGGACCAGAGAAGCACGTGAACACCACTAGAGCCATGTGGACAATATGTTAATCTGGACCTGGGTCAAAACACGCTCCAGATATACTGAGGCCTCATTAGGGTCAAAACACCCCCCAGACATACTGAGGCCTCATTAGGTCAAAACTCACTGCCAGATATACTGAGGCTTCATTAAGGGTCCAAAAACCCCCCAAGATATTACTGAGGGCTTCATTAGGGTCCAAAACAAACCCCAGATATAACTGATTGCTCATTAAGGGGTCAAAACCACCCATAGATATACTGAAGGGCTATTATGGTCAAAACACACCCCAGATATGCTGGACTCATTAGGGTCAAAACACACCCCAGAATACTGAGGGCTCATTAGGGTCAAAACACACTGCCAGATATACTGAGGCCTCATTAGGGCCAAAACACCCCAGATATAATGAGGGATCATTAGGGTCAAAACACACGGCCAGATATATTGGGTTCTCATTAGGGTCAAAACACACCCCAGATATACTGAGGGCTCATTAGGGTCAAAACACACCCCAGTATACTGAGAGCTCATTAGGGTCAAAACACACCCCAGATATACTGAGGCTCATTAGGGTCAAAACACACCCCAGATATACTGGGGGCTCATTAGGTCAAAACACACACGCCAGATATACTGAGGGCTCATTAGGGTCAAAACACACCCCAGATATACTGAGGGCTCATTAGGTCAAAACACCCTCCAGATATACAGGGCTCATTAGGGTCAAAACACCCCCCAGATATACTGGGGGCTCATTAGGGTCAAAACATGCCCCAGATATACTGAGTGCTGATTAGGGTCAAAACATACCCCAGATATGCTTGTGGCTCAGTATGGTCAAAACACACAGCCAAATATACTGAGGGCTCATTAGGGTCAAAACACACCCCAGATATACTGAGGGCTCATTAGGGTCAAAACACCCCCCAAATATATTGGGGGCTCATTAGGGTCAAAACACACCCCAGATATACTGGGGGCTCATAAGGGTCA